GGATGCTGGGACACGGTCTGGGATGCAGCACAGTTTCACACACTCCTCATTTTGCACTTTTGGTGCTGTTGTAAATGGTGAAGATGCTGGTAGTGCTGCCTGCACCACGCACGGGGCGATCTGCGGTAACTCGCTAACGGAGATTTGTCGCGTTAATGCAGTTACGGCGTTAACGTCATTTTAGAGTAACGCTGCAGCACTAAAATAATAATCTTCAAATGTTTTCTGTTTGCCGAGCAGCTCCTCTGTGATAGCTGCCGTGGCCGTCTGGTCGTCGCCTGCAGGTGAAGTGATGGGGGAGGGGGAGGGGTGAGGCAGAGTAACAGCGTGGAGACAAGAGTGGACGAAAGAGGCAAACTTGCGGCTCCACGAGTATAATTATAATGTAACATCGACATAAACGATATTGTCACATCTCATATAAAAAGAAATCGATATATTAAAAACTCGATGTATCGCCCGGTCCTAATCACAACCATAACAGCTGTCGAGCCAAGGATCTGAATCTGTGGGAACAGGGTCGGGTTTACGCTCCAGGAAGAGCGAGAGAGTCCAAGTGCAGAGACATTTTAAGAGGAAACAAAGTACTTTATGGTGGATGTTAAAACTTCTCTTGTTTTCTCTCTGCATCCTCCCCCCTCTCCTCCCCTCAGTATCTAGGTCATTGCTGAGTCCAGTGAGCTAAGAGCTTTTTCTGTGCAGTTAAAACCTCCATAGAAAAACTAAGAAAGAAACATATTTGAGACCAGAACACAAACATGTGCTAAAGCCACTGCAATAGTGCTATTTTTGCACTGCATTCATCAAAATGTGCAGTCGTTCATCAGCTCCCCTCTGAAATGCTTCCTGAGCGAGTGTTTCACACATATGTTCTCCACATTTGTGTTGGTGCTTTATTCTCTGAAAAGGCAGATTTTAGCTGTGTGGATCGCGCTTCTTCACTGAAACGATTAAAGTAAAGAAGACTCGACGGGGCTGAGAAAGACAAAATGGAACAAAATGTGTGTGAAGCTTTGGAACTGAAAGGATTTCTGCACAGATTGGTCACAACATGCAATTTTCTTCCTTTTAAACCACTTCGTTGTACATTCACCTGCGTGCTTCAGCACCGTCTTGTTGCATCACCCGACCTCTCTTAACCCTTTAAGACCTACCATAGAACCAAGTCAAAGTCAGAGCTTATATTATATTTTTACATGCTGTGGAGCCATTTTTGGGAGCATTTCAAGTTGCTATACATCAATACAACCATTACAGCCTAAATTTTAATAATATGTCTGCATTAAGTGCATAGTAATGACATAAATTGCAAAAAAGTGCAATAAACTACAAAAAAATT